TTGCCTGGGGTGAAGCACCCGGGCTCCTTGCCTGGGGTGAAGCACCCAGGCTTTGTATAATAGGAGTGCTCTGGGTGGCATCCTCATCAGCCAGAAGCACATCTAGCATTTGTTCCAACTCTCCAGCTGAAGCAAGGATATCATACTGCTCTTCCTTGACCAGATGATCCAGCACAAATGCCTCCATGTCATAATGATTCCCAGCAGCATCAGCTCCTTCTTTCTTCTCAGATAGTTCGGCCTCTTGTTTTATCACACTCCTGTTTTCAGGACTCGGTGCAGCCTCAGCAGTTGCAGGGAGCAGTTTAGCAGACCTGGCCAACTGTTGCGCATCTGTTACTTCTGGTTTAGGATGTCTGGGTTGAGATTGGGAGCCCTCATCTTTCGAAGTGTGCACACCATTTTCCACCACTGTAGGCTGGGCGGCAGGTGATTCGTGCACTACTTCCCAGTAACTGCCATTGACAACTTTTCTGAGTTTTACTCGGCCTATGTGACCTATTTCTTGGGGAAAGTTTGGGGAGGATGCTGGATCATTGCAGGTGCGCTTTCTGCCTTTAGATTTTGGAAGAAGAGGGGGGCTTCTTAAGTCACAAAAATGATTACTATCTTCTTTTTCCATCTCATCCTTGACAGGACATTTTTGTCTCCAGAGACGTTTAACAGACCTTGGCGATTTGCTGGACGTTACAGTACAATGGTCTCTGGAGGCACAAGGCGCGGACAGAGGTGGCAAGGAAAGCTTTGAACGGCTGAGCTTTATCTTTTTTGAATTCTGCAAACTGGCTGTAGTGTGTGCATCTCCAGCCTCAGTCTCCTTTCTGTGCAGACCACCATTCTCATTGCTGCCCATTATATTCCTTATTGTGCCTGAAGGGTGTTTTTTAACTTTTGTTTTCAGGGGATCAGCAGCAACTGTCTGGCTTTTTGAACTCTGTTTGTCATTACTCAGCAATGCTGTAGTAAGCTTTTGCTTCTTTACGTCCTTCTGATCAGCACTGTTGTGGCCACTTATTTCTTTGGAGCATGGTATAAAATTACTGCCGGGTATTGCTTGCTTGCCTGCAGCTACCCAGGATGTCAAGCTACCTCCAGAGGGAGCAGAAGAATGAATTAAGCTTGTCTCTGACCTGGTCATTGGACTGGTTATCTGCAAACAGTTCCTGTTTAATTGCCGGCCAGGTTTTTTTTTTACTAACTTTCCTCCTTCTAACTGTAAAGAATCAAGTTCTGACACCTGAAGCTGTCGTGCAGCTGCAAGAATATCCTGAGCTTCTTCCCGGGACACTTCCATTTCAGATGTATAGAGGAAATCTACCAATTTACGCAACGTCCCAATTTTCAGCCCCCGAATTTCCAGCACCACCTTGTGTCCCTTGGGGGCCATTTCTCTTTCCAACTGCTCTGTGAAGAAGGGGCTGCAGGCCGACAGGATGCAACAATGAGCTGGAACGGCTTCGCCTATAAAGAACACCATTATTAGCAGGTACTTTACCAGTGGACCATCAATTTTGACTGAAGATGTTCTCCATGGGCAAGCCTTGAAATTCTCCCACAGTCAATACATAATGTCAGGAAAGTGAGAATTGTACTGAGTCAGGGCAAAGACGTATCTAGTCCTAAATTCTATTCCCAGGGCAGCTAACCAGAAGCAATTTAGGAAGACTATTTTACTTGCCCTGGCAAGAAATGGAAGGAGCATGCTAAATCAAATGCCTACATGCACCGTGAAGCAACATCTCCCCAAGCAATTGTCTTTGCTCCCTTTTTCTGACAGAATAGAAGGGCAAAGAAGTGGAAGGGCAGGGAATCAGAGAGGAATCTGGACTACGATGAAAAGGCCTGGTCCATTCGCCAGTTATTGCCATTCCCAGTACATAGACCCCAGTACATGGATCATTGATGATTTATATTTTAAGCACGCTAACTTAAATAATGTATTTCATTACAATTAAGTAGTAAGTATCAAACTGCATTTTTCACATGTTAATTTAAAATAGTTGTATTTTTAAAACAGAGTTGCAAGAACGGTTCCCTGCAAGGGATATTTTAACTCACTCTTCCTTTTACATCAACTTACTGGGTAGTGTTAAAGTATACATCTTAATAAACAAAACCCATCTTTCCTAACTAAATTTGCCTAGAGTTCTTAGGTTAGTAATGCTTCTTTAAGGCAAAAGCTTAACAATTTGGTCTAGTTATTTCGGGACAATTGAGTAACAAAAACAATTGCAAAGTGTACAAACTACCATTATGTATTTTATTCACAACTAACAAGATATTAAACAAATCCACAGGCATGCCCTAGGTAAAATTAAATAGCTCCATAATTCCAGTGGAAGAATTCAACACAAATAAAAATAACAATGGCAGCACTCCAAACAACTTCCTTGGATCTATCGCACCCCCCCCTTTTTTTTTTGCAAAATTTCACTATGGTTAAACGTTTCAATTGCAAAGTCTTAATACAGGTAACCTTCAACTCACAACCACAATTCAGCCTAAAATTTCTGTTCCTAAGCAAGACAATTGTTAAGTGACTTTTGTCCCATTTCACAACTTTTCTTGCCACAGTTAAATGAATCGCTGCAGTTGTCAACAACACCGTTATAAAGCGAAATCTGGCTTTTCCATTGATTTTGCTTGTCAGAAGGTTGCAAAGTGATCATGGAATCCCAGCACACTGCAACCATCATAAATAGGA